CCCACCCACACACACACACAAAAGAAAGAAAATAAAAAAGAAAAAGAAAAAAAAAAAGAACACCCCAAACCCCCAAGAGATACTTGGATGCTGTATGTGTTCTCCTATTCGACACTTGCATTGATTTACTAGTAATCGAGCTCAATATTTTTGTTCTGCATACAAATAAAAGTATTAAAATGAGGATTCACAAATTTAAAATTTGTATGGAATAAAATCAACCAATTTACATACGAAGGAGCACAACTAAGTTGAGAAAAGGCACTCTTAAGTATTCTCACGAAAAGAGAAAATTACTAAGTCAGTAAAAAAGATTGATGCAAACTGCAAAATCAGCAAAAAAGATTGTCGCGTATTTGTCAGAAAATTAATCATAAATTGTATATCATAACTTGGGAAATTGTTTCAATGCCCCAATTTTCATCAACCCATGTGAGTAGCCCCTACAACCTTTCTCCTATGTGTAAAAGCCCCTAAAACCCAAAAAAAAAGTATGATTTAGCCCTTCCAACTCAACAATATATATTGTATATACTGCATTTCCCCCAAATCCCTAAATTACCCCTTCTTGGTAGATCTCTCTCTCTCTCTCTCTCTCTCTCTCTCTCTCTAAGATAAGATCCAAGTAGATTTTTCCTATTTCTCTCTCCTCCCAACTAAACTCTCTTCCTAAATCCTCCTCCCTTGCATCCTTGTCGGTGTCATGGCTAACCTTGTTGCTTCTCCCTCCTCTCTCCTAACCATAATCTTCTTAATTGCTCGTCATTTCTATCCTCTATTATTCTTCTCTCCTAAACCTAAACATAACCTTCCTCCTCTCTCCCTCTTCCTCCTCTCCTTCCCCCCCCTCCCCCCCCCCGCCTCTGCCTCTGTCATTACCGACCTCAAGCACACACTTTAACCCTGTCGTCCCCCTCTCCCACCTCACACTCTGCCATTACCGACCTCGAGCACATCTTTAACTAGTTCGACTCTAATGACAATGACAATATCTCCTCCTCCGAGCTTGCGACTATCTTCTCCTCCCTTGACCAACCCCTCTCCTCCTCTAAAATGATCTATGACTTTCTCTTCTCTCTCCTATATAATTTCTCTCAGGTATATGATATGTGGTGATTTAAAGATTGCTTATGAAGTGTTTGATGAAATGCTAAAGAGAGATATAGCTTCTCCTCTTGAGGAATCGCTCAGCTTGCTCTCCCCGGACTTTCAAGTCCTTCCACGTCTTGGATGGTGCTGTCTCCATTGCTTTCAGCACGTCCAACGCGAGGTTGTTGTAGCAGGTCTGGAGGATGAATTCCTCGGTGATCGGGTCCCGGCAATTCATCGCCTTGTTCCGGAACCTTTTGACGAAGGTATCGACTAACTCTCCGTCTTTCTGCTTCTCATCGAGCAACGATCCGATAGATATCTCGGTGTCGTCGTCGAAGAAGTTGGCCAGGAACTTGGTCTCCATGTCATCCCAGCTGTTCACGCTGCCTGGCTTGAGGCGGCGATACCAATCGAAGGCGGCTCCGCGAAGAGTGCCGACGAATGACCTCACCGCTTTTTCCTACTACTTCTTTATTTATTTCCTTCTGTAAAAATCATAATATTATAACATACAATATAACTTAACAGATAATAATATATCTATAACAGGAAATAATTTAGAATTAACACGAAATGACTTAAACTTTACAGGAAATGACTTAAACTTCACAGAAAATGACTTAAAATTCATGGTGAATGGTTTAGACTTAACACATAATTGCTTAAACTTCAAAGAAAATAACTTAGACTTAACATGAAATGCCTTAGACTTAATACAAAATGACTTAAATTTCACAGGAAATGACTTCAAATTCATAGGGAAGGGCTTTGATTTAACATAAAATAACTTAGACTTAACACGCAATTGCTTAAACTTATTGAAAATAACTTAGACTTAAGATGAGATGATTTAGACTTAATACGAAATGACTTAAACTTCACATAAAATGACCTAAATTTTACAGGGAAGGGCTTTGACTTAATATGAAATTTGCACATTTTGAAACTAGAACTACCTCATGGCGTGGTCTTATTACTGAATGTATTCTTCAATTAACTCAAAAGAAGCCAAAAATCTCCTAGTGAATATAAAACCGAAGCAACAACGTTCATTGTTTTAAACATGTTATGGAACTAATATAGCAAATATAAATTACTAAAAAGAGTAATGCATGTAAAATCTTAATCTTGTAAGTAATATATCAAACATCTGTTGGGCATCAAACACAATACTCAACTCAAGATCCATACATGATCTAGGGTCTCTCATGACCTATTCTCCTATCAAAATTACTAAGCTAAAAGCATCTAGTTCCATTGTAGACATCCTGGACTTTAAAGTGAAAGGTATAGATATGAGTTGGGGGCAGTCTTTAGAGAACATCTCTTAGAGCAGATTCTTAAGTTGAGGAACAAACACTCTCTTCTTGGCGATGATCTCGGAGAAGGATATATTGTCATAGATATTAGAGGCAATGCTCGAGATTGGTGGTGGCATAGGGGGGGGGGGAGAAGGAGACAAAGGGCCGGAGCATGCACCCAAGGTAGGTGGTGGTAGAGCGGGAGATAGTAGAGGGAGATGGTGTGGTCATAAGGTGCAATCGAGGTCGGTGGTGGTAAAGAGAGAGGCGAGAGAGGGGGATGTCAGTGTCGGAGGAGAAAATGAGGAAGAAGGAGAGAGGAGGAAGATTAGGTTTAGGAGAGAGGAGAAGAGGAGAGAAAGAAGGAACAGCCAGGA